GTAGATTAGGGGTGGTACATTTATGGTGGTCCTATTCTCCAGCCTTAAAGGGGGCTGCATGTCCCAGCTAAAGTCCACCCACCCTTTTCTTGAACAGCAGCAGCTGGACTGAGTCTTGCACTTTCCATCTGACTCTATGACTCTGCACCCTGTCCTCTGAGCTTACCCCCACCTTTCCCCACTAGCTGTCCCAGTGCCCATAGGAGGCTTGCCCTCTTCTCAGCAGTTCCTCCTGTTCTCAAGTGCTGACAGTCCTATGGAAGATAGGCCCACACATCAGGAATGAATCTCCAAAGGAAAATAGGCTGACTGGTCAATCTAGTCACCCTGATGCACATCTCTAAACATCCAAAGGAACTCCTGGGGCCCCTGAGGCTCAGTAGAACCCAGTGAGATCCAGTTAAAGAGGCCCCTTTTATGTGAGCTGCGCCACCATGCCTCATCTAGAATAATTATTATTGATGTTATTGGTGTGTTGTTGAAAATTCCAAGCTTCTAATCATGGCTTGGTCTTTCTCGTGACCAGTCCCCATCCTGAAGCTATCCAGGGGCTCCCTGCCACCAGTCATCTCATTAGCATACAAAAAAATACACTCTTATCGCCCTGCCAGTTCCAAAGGACTTAAAAGCTTTCTGTCAGGAACCAGGATCAAAGAACAAATATGTATTTCTTATCACAGAATTCAATAGCTGTCTGATGAGTGATGAGCTGACTAACAGGGCATGAGGGTGTCGGAGTAGTGCAATCCTCAGGAGGGGTGATTGGATCCCAGGAAGGAGGGCCTCCTGAATTGGGTCCCTGGAGGCTAAGGCCCATCCTCAGCACACAGAAACAGAACCAGGTGATGCCATTGATCTGTGTCTTGGTAGGCATCCTCAAAGTATAATCCTGAGCAAATCACTTAAACTCTCAACACCTTTTCTTCATCAGAAAAATGGAAATGACAATACTCACTCTGTATAAATTACAGGGTTTCATGGGGACTTAATGGGATAATGAACATGAAATGCTTTATAAACTGCAAAGTCCACACAAATGAGGTTTTATCATTAATTGTAGATGAACATGCACATGTGCACACATCCATATCCATAGGCACCCATTCATTCATAAAAATTCTCTTGCTCCAAAGAGAATTAGCATAATGATGCAGCCCCCTGTGAAATCACATGCTGGGACCTCCCCATGCCCTCCATTTTCCCTATGCCATTACCCACTTAGACCGAGTGCATTCAGGAAAATTGAGGAGGGGCTGAAGAGCTTTGAAGAGAAGCAGGTGAGTCTGGAGCACAGACTCCTCAAACCACACCTGCCCATTCTGCTGGGTGTTTGGGTTCGTTTGCATTTCCTTGATACACATGCACCTGGGAACTAGAAACAGCCCAACCCTTCAGAGGAAATTCTTGGTAGAACAAGGTTAAAGCTGGATAGGAAGTTCAAATTCAGCAGCTCTCTTTGGGTGCCACTGTTCATTCATTCATCCTCCCATTCAACAAAATTTATCAAGCACCTACAACATCCATACAGAACTGCACTTGGTGTTGGGAATCCAAAGACAAGCAAGTCAGTCCCTGCCTTTGAGGAACTCCCAGGCAGCTGCATAAACAAGGCCAGGCTGTGCGAAACAGTGAACACATTTGGGAGTGGCAGGCAGCTCTGTACAACCAGGGGACTTTGGCCAAGTACTGCTAGACAAAACAGGGATGAAGGGGGAAAAAGCAGGAGCCCAATCCCCAAAGTCCTTGATCCACACTGATGAGTTTGGACTTTATCCAACATGTGGTGTGAGCTGTAAGGACATTAGGAAAGGGAGTGAAGTGGACTAACCAGATTTCCTTTCCTTGTTCAGGATCTTCCCCTCTGTTTTAATATATTCATCTTCAAAATTGGTAGCAGTTACATAAGTGTACTAAATCCAGTGAGAGAATGAAAAGTTGCAGAAAGAAAACTTTCATATTTTCTCCTACTCCATTTCTATTACTCCTTTACACCAGTGGTTCTCTAAGTGTGTTTCTGAAATAGAAGCATTAGCACCATCTGGAAGCTTGTTAGAAATATTTTCTGATTACAGTTAATAAGACTATATTGTATATTTGAAAGTTGCTAAGAGAGAATATCATAAAACTCTTCGTTACAAGAAAAAATGTGACTATTTGTGCTAATGGCTGTTACTTAGAATTATTGTGGCGATCATTTTATAATATACACCAATATCGAATCATTATGTTGTATACCTGAAACTAATATAACATTACCTGTCAATTGTATCTCAATTTCAAAAAAATTGAAAAAAAATACAAACTGCTCCAATCCCTTCCAGTGATTCTGATGTTTACTAAGGTTAAAAAACACTGCACTGCACTCAGTAATTATCCACATTTCCATGTTCATCAAATATGAACATATACACACATAATTATGCCACTGTTCACACTTGTTTTTTCCTTTTTTAATATATTTTATTGATTGTGCTATTACAGTTGTCCCATTTTTTTCTCCCCTTTATTCCTCTATACCCTGCACCATCCCTCCCACCTGCATTCCCCCCATTAGTTCATGTCAATGGGTCGTACATATAAGTTCATTGGCTTCTCCATTTCCTATACTATTCTTAGCCTCCCCCCATCTATTTTGCACCTACCATCTGTTTCTTATTCCCTGTATATTTTCCCCCATTCTCCCATCTCCCCCTCCCAGCTGATAACCTTTTGTGTGATATCCATTTCTGTGATTCTGTTCCTGTTCTAGTTGTTTGCTTAGTTTGTTTTGTTGTTGTTGTTTATTTTGGTTCAGTTGTTGATAGTTATGAATTTGTTGTCCTTTTACCGTTCCTATTTTTTATCTTTTTCTTTTTCTTAGATAAGTTTCTTTAACATTTCATATAATAAGGGCTTGGTGATGATGAACTCCTTTAACTTGACCTTATCTGGGAAGCACTTTATCTGCCCTTCCATTCTAAATGGTAGCTTTGCTGGATAGAGTAATCTTGGATGTAGGTCCTTGGCTTTCATGACTTGGAATACTTCTTTCTAGCTCCTTCTTGCCTGCAAGGTTTCTCTTAAGAAGTCAGCTGATAGTCTTATGGGAACTCCTTTGTAGGTAACTCTCTGCTTTTCTCCTGCTGCTTTTAAGATTCTCTATTTTAATCTTGGGTAACTTAATGATGATGTGCCTTGGTGTGTGCTTCCTTGGGTCCAACTTCTTTAGGACTCTCTGAGCTTCCTGGACTTCCTGGAAGTCTATTTCCTTTACCAGATTAGGGAGGTTCTCCTTCATTATGTTTTCAAATAACTTCAATTTCTTGCTCTTCCTCTTCTCCTTCTGGCATCCCTATGATTTGGATGTTGGAACATTTAAAATTGTCCCAGGGGTTCCTAAGCCTCTCCTCATTTTCTCAAATTCTTGTTTCTCCATTCTGTTCTGGTTGAATGGTTATTTCTTCCTTCTACTCCAAACCATTGATTTGAGTCCCAGTTTCCTTCCCTTCACTATGGTTCCTTGTACATTTTCCTTTATTTTGTTTTGCATAGCCTTCACCTTTCCTCTATTTTGTGACCATACTCAATCATTTCTGTAAGCATCCCAATTACCAGTGTTTTGAATTCTGCATCTTGATAGGTTGGCTATCTCTTCATCATTTAGTTGTATTTTTTCTGGAGCTTTGATCTATTCTTTCATTTGGGCCATATTTTTTTCATCTGGATGTGACTGTTATGAAATAAGGGGTGGAGCCTTAGGTATTCACCAGGGAGGGGCAACCCATGTAGCTGCTTGGGGTACAGTTTGTGGGGGAGGGGTCTGAGAGGGAATAATGCTGCTTGCTCAGCTCTCAGCTGGCTTTTAGTCATTTCTGCCACTACCCACAAACAAATTGGGCTCTTCTGGTACTGATTCCAAGGTGGGTGGTTTTGTGTGTGTTCTAGGACCCTGTGGGTCTCTTCAAAGACCTCTCCTGTGAGGCTGGAGTTTCTCCCACGGCTGCAACCTTCACAGGTTTTTTTAGTCAGAGGTTTTGAGGCTTTATTTTCCTGCATTGGAACCCTGGGTTGCATGGTCTGTCTCGATCCCCAACTTGTTCCTCCAGTTTATCTGCACACAAATGTGGGACTTCCTGCTCCACTAGCTGCCACCTCCCCTACCCAGTCCACCAGCCACCGCCTGCCAGGAGTCCTCTTCACCCCAGCTGTCTGTGTCCGACCCTCCTATGAGACTGGATGAATGTTTCTTCTTTAATTCCTTGGTTGTCAGACTTCCATACAGCTCAATTTTCGGTCAGTTCTGGTTATTTTTTTGTTTTTAAATTTGTTGTTGCCCTTCTTTTGGTTGTGTGAGGAGGCACAGTATACCTGCCTATACCTCCATCTTGGCCAGAAGTCCACACTCATTGTTTTTTTCAAAATGATATCATACTCTTTCCTAAGCTAGCTGCTTATCTCACATCGTGATATACTCCCTAGTCAATAGATGTGGAACTACCTCATTTTTAAAATTGTGTCTAATTTTCCATTGCATGAATGCAGTAAAATTTATTTAATCATTTATTGCTGAATATTCAGGTTATTTAAGTAAGTTTATTTATTTAATTATGTTGACACCTAAAATAATGCTGCAATAAAATTGCTTTACCTGTTCAGGTAAGTATTACATATGGGTGGTTTTCTTTCTACAGGATAGATTGCCAAAAGCAGGAATGTAAAATCAAAGTTTATGGTATTTTTAATATTAATAGGCATTGCAGCCTACTAGTCACTGGAGTTGTGGCAATATTACAGCCCTCCCATAAAATATACAATGTCTGTTTCATCACATCCTCACCCACATGTGATCTTGTAGCTCCTCAAATTTACATTTTAGAAAGCTCACTATGACAATTCAGTGGAAAATATATTTGATCCAATGAGGGGAGGGGTAAACTTGGAGGCCAAGAGTCCATTTGGGGGACTTTTGGGTTACTCCAGGAGAGAGGTGATAAAGGCCTGCATTAAGAAAGTGGCTATAGGTGCTCACTTCAGCAGCACATACATTAAAATTGGAATGATACAGAGAAGATTAGCATGGCCCCTGCACAAGAATGACACACAAAATTTGTGAAAGCTTCCATATTTTTGTTTAAAGGACACATAGACAAAACCACAGTTGGGTAGGATCGAGGATGGGAGATGGGGATGAGTGGGGTGGGGGGAGTAGTGGTGGGGAAATGGGGACAACTGTACTTGAACAACAATAAAAATAAATTAATTTAAGGAAAAGAAAGTGGATATCAGGTTCAGATCACTTTCACCAATTGACTCATTTAACCTACCAAATAATCTGCTTTCCAGATGAAAAACCTGGATAGTTTGTTGTTGAGACATTGTGATTTGTCTACATGTTGTAGGATTTCTGATCACTTCCTCACCCATCTACAGCCCATTCTAAGGGAACATGCCCCACCCTAACCCTCCATTGCTTAAGTAGCACAGGACCCTGCTCTTCTAGTCTTAGATGACTGGATAAGGGGTGGGCATGGGACCTAAGAGAAACTGACCCATAATGATGTATGGTCTCAGGGGTCAAAAAACAGTCAAATTCTTTCTGGGGTTTGAACAAAGATGTTGAGAGGAAAACTGCCATTGGTGCTCATGGATGGTAGAGCAGCAAGTCTGTGCAAAGACAGGGCTAGGAAGACCATGGTCACAAATAAGTTGAAATTATAGGTAAGTAGAAAGGGTGAACAAGTAATGTAAGCTGACTTAATGCAAAGAGAACAGAGCAGATGCACAGAGAAAGGCCAAAATGCCAAGACAGAGAAGCTACTATGGACTTGAACCCACCTGCACCTTCATTTCCCATGCAGCCTGGCAACGCCTCAGCCCCTGCCCTGAGCACCTAGGATATGTTTGTGTCCTCTCTTTCAGTAACCTCTCCCCTTCCCTCCATACACACTTGAGTGTCCTTCTAGGGATCACTGCTCCTATAAACCACAGCTCTGGCAAGAACAAGGCCGGAATTCACAGATACTAGCCTTTAGATTTACCAAATCTGAAGTTATTTGACTTCAAGTGAAAGCTATACAAAGAAAATAACAATACTTTAGTCTGTCATTTACAAAGTGCTTTCTATCTACATTATTTATTTCAATCTTGTCCTAATGAGAAGATAGAAGTTCAAAGATATTAAATACCTTCTCCAAGAACACACCTTTAATAGGTGTTTGGAGGCAGGGGCAGAGATGGTGGTCCTGGGATCTTGCTCATTGGATTGCAAAGCCCAAAATGTCCTACGTGCCCTGCTGAAATGGTGCCAGGCCACAGGGTCCTGTCACCTTTTCCCCCTTTTCTCCCTACCCGTGTCCCCTTCATCACCTGGCTATGATGGCTATGATTTTAAAGCCTCTTGCTCTGTGTTTCAGCTGAGGGGTATGAGTTCTACTTCAAATGAGGGTCTTGGCTCACAGACCCAAATGTTCAACTCATGATTCACATCTAGGGCCTGCAATGTGCCCTTGAGTGGGTTAGATGGAAGACCCAATCATTCAAAAGGGCTCTCCTCACAGAAATTAAATCCCCATACCCTTCTGATAAAGACTTTCCTTGATTATATCTCTGTAAAAACACATCTATTTAACTTTGCAGTGAGTCATTAGTGAGTATGGATAGCTTTAAAAACTAAAAATAACTAACACTTATTGAATGTTTATTATGCTTCAGACATTGTGCTAAGCTCTTTATGTAAATTCACTTAAAATTCCCAATAACCTTATGAAGTAAGTATTATTATCCTTATTTCTCAGATAAGAAAACTAAAGCTAAGAAAGTTAATTAACTTGTTCAGGAATGCAGGGTTAATAGGTGAAAGAACCTGGATTTGAACCCTTGCAGTCTGCCTTCGCTGAGCCTACCAGATACACTGGATTTTCTTCCAGAGGGCAGGTCCTGAGGAAATGGGTCATGAAAGAGAGAAGTCTCCTGGTGGGCAGAGAGGAGTAGGGAAAACCCATAGTATCTGGTGCTCCTTGGCCTGATAAAACCTGGGCCAGGGCCTTAGAGAGGAGTCCTAAGCATCAGGAGACAGATCAAAGGCACTGGGTGACCAGCTTGGAGAGTAGGCATAAAATTGTAAAAGGAGGAGAAGGGAGGGAAGGAAGTAGTTTCCTGAAGAGACAGAACTAGCCTTCTTCACACATTATTAGCTAGGGGCCAATCACTTTCTTCCAAAATTTCCATCATTCTATGGTTCCTTAGGCCCAATCTAGTGGACAATAAGGGATCATGTCTCAAGACAAAGCCTGGGAGGCAAATGTCCCATCTGGCCCCACAAATTGCAATCTCAGCCACTTCCCCTGAGAATCCCACCATAGGGTTCCTGGTCTTCACTGGGACATTGCAGGCACGATGCTTCCACCTGGTTAGGAATCAGGAACCCCCTGGCCCTGGACCCTAAGCCCCTATCAACTGACTCAAACTTCAGTTAAGTCAGCTCTCCTCGCTGGTCTTGAGATTCCCTTTTTGAAAAGTGTAGGCACTGAGTGATATTGTTGATGATCCCTCAGACTCCAACCAGTTCAAAGTGTTCCAAATAGAAAGGTCATCAGCTCAGGAACCAGAAGGACCTGGGTTCTAGTTCAACCAGATCATTTACAAGTTGTATGAGTCTGGGTGAGCCAGAGACTATCTTCACACCTCACTTTCCTCTGCTCTGCAATGGGATAAGCTGTTCCACTTATATCCCAGGCTTGCTGGGAGTGAGATCATGCCTATGAAAATGCTGTGAACTTGGTAAAGCCCTTCATACATACAGATGCAAGGTGTCAAAATCTGTGATTTCTTCCTTCTTCAGTCTCCCCTGAAGCCAGACCAGCCAGGATCTTACACCCCAGCTCCATAGGGACCAGAATCCAGAAGGATGGCATGGAGTAAGCATCCCCCTCTCCTGGGCCCTGCCTACTCAAGACCCTCACCCAGATGGGCCTATTCCCAGAACAAGAGGTAGTTCTTCTTTGCCACAAATCCTGCAGGACTCTTCCTCCCATCTGCACGCCAATGTCACCTCTGAAAGTCACATCTGCTCCCTGGACTGTAGTCACCTCCAAGTTGAACTTGGGTCATGAGGGTTGGTGACAGGCAGTGCCCAGCCCCATCTGCTCTGAAAAGCAGAAAGAACTCAACGTACAACCAGTTCACAGTCCATTTTTCAAAGCCTGACGTCAATTTGCAGCCTTAGATTGGTTTTTGTTTCTCCGTACTTTGTTTTCTTTTTCGTGATGAATGGTTATTGTCAAGCTGGCTTAGAAGAAGCAATAGGCAGGAGGTGGGGGCTGGGGTGGAGATAGCACAGCGGTGGGTTTCTTGGTTGGGTTATTGTTTACATTTCTTTTTTAGGGAAGAAAATGGAATGGGAGGTACCTGAGGTCAGAACTGGGTCATATGAGATGGATACCAGGGTCATGTTGTAGCTGCCTGGTCCTTTCATTTAGGACAGACGATGCTGAGACCTCTTTCCCTTTCCTTTCCCCACAAGCACACATCTGACCCAGAGGATGGGCAGCATGTCACGGCTACAGGAGTTGATGCTGTCATCTTCAGATAAATATAAGCAAAACACACCCAGAAAATTATTTCCTCTTAATGGAAAAATTATCAGGCCTCAAGGAGCCTGATCTAAGGGCTTTTAGATGTGCACAGAGATATATACTTGAGTCTTCTCTCAAGCTTCTCTCTGAGAAGGGTTTTGCAGAAACCATCTTCTCCCACATTCTCTGCTAGAGCAGAAGAGCACACATGTCTAGTTGCCTGGCTTGAAGCCAATAGGATCTCACAGATCTTGCTTTAGGATCATACAGTTAGGTGTCTTAGAGTCTTCAGACATATGAGATTGAAAGGATATTAGAAATCCCCCCTGCCAACCTCTCTCAGGTCCTAGAGAATTGAATTGAGGCCCAGAGAGAAATGACTTACAAAGGTCATGATCACTTAGCAGCATGACAAGAAACTAAGGCCTTTGACTCCAATTTCACTTCCCATTACCCCAAACATTCTGGTCAATTCCTTGCAGCTTTCTGAAGCTTCTTACATCACTCACTCAAACAAACACAATCCTACAGGCCCAGGGACACTGAATTCTAGGAAGGTCACTGCCTTATTTAAGATGGTATTTGTGGTACATTAGGATTTACCCACAATTCTTCTTTCCTTCCTACTCTGCCATGGCTCACAGTCTGCAGAGTAAACATCTCCAACCTATTGACTGAACTTGTGACTTGCTTTGATTAATGAAACATTAGTGGATATGCCATGAGCAGAAGCTTAAGTGTACTTGCACAGTTTGGTTTGGTGCTTTGCAATTCTACAATCTGCAATGAGTTTGTCAATCCCAGAACTAGAGACACATGAAGTATACTTGAACACAGTTCTCAGCCTGAAGCAGAGCTGCCACAATTATCAACAAACAGACCTGTGATGATGAATATAATTGCTTGTTATTATAAACCTATAGTTTTGAGGGGTATCACAGCCAAAATCTGACTGATACAATACTCCAACTTTCCCCCATCAAGACAGGGACTGTGCCAGGTTTCTTCTCCTGGTCATTGGGGACATACTTGGCATTACAGAGGGATAGGGAAGAAGGGCCAAGAGACACCAATTAGGCTGAGAGGTGGCCCTACCCCTGTAGAGCAATCTTTATAAGCCCTACTATATGGGCTAAATGTGACCCAGGCCTACCTCCTTCTTTTTCTTCTAGGTGACCACCATGGCAGCATACCTAAGGTATTAGTCAGGAGAGGGTAACCGTGATTTCAAACAATCCCCAGATCTCAGGGGCTTGAATAATACATGTTTATTTCTTAATCATGTCATGATCTGAACTGGCAATAGAATTGGAAGGAGAGGCTCTACTCCACGGAGTCATTCAGAGACTCAGGATCCATCTATCTAATGTCTCTGTCATTCTCTCTAAAGCCTTAGAATCCTCCCCTGGACTCCCTTCATCCAGTCAGGTGTTGAACAAAAGAGACACTGTAGAACACCTCTTAGGAGATTTTAGGAGCTGAGTCTGGGAGTGGCATGCATCTTTTCTACCCACATTTCCTTAATCGAAACTCAGTTAAAAGGCCCCACTTTCTTC